CAGTAAAAATCGAACATATGAGATATTTCGCGGCCACGACTGAAAAATCGATTTTGCTCAAATTTTGCCCAGATATACCTTATTATATCGGAAAATGCGCCATATATTTTTTTAGGTCAAATGCTTTTTTAACTTTGAGAAAATGCCGTTTTAACACGACCACCCTAAATCGCCATTTTTTTCTGGGAAAATATGCGCTGATTTTACAGATAAATTTCACGACGACAACCGTTTCTAATCGATCTAAAACCCTAAAAATCTTGTTTTCGGTTATTCAAAGGACTGTGTACATGACTTACAGGAAATCTGAGTTACTTTTAGGAATAGAAATAATCGTAGTTTTTGAGCACACTATCTTACTTCATTTACGATACCCTCTTAACAAAATCGATTTTCACCATGCGATAAAGCTCCAAATCGATCATGCTTCTACTAGTTGGCTCTTTAATAAGCAAGCTTTCAATTGACGTAAATACTTCTTTTGGCAAATGAATACGCGATAAACGACAGCGCGTTGAAATCGTCCGTTTTTGACGTCTTGCAAGTCAAACGTTGTTAATTTACATACCGTCGAAGTAAACAATTTAATCAAGTATTTTAAGTATTTTACCTTTTGAGAAGAAGATATATTCTTGAATGGAGACTTTTTGCCTTGCTTAGTTTAAAATTGGTCCAAAAATCCCGAGATGTCAGTTGCATGACAACTTCAGATCATTGTTCAATATTGTCTACTTTTAATAGCGCAAACATACAAATCGATGAGCTGTTTAGGGATTTTATATTTGTTACTAAATTTCCCCAAATTAGAACTTCAATTGACAATTGTTGTTTTGTTCCAGTTTGCATTGATCCATATAATGTACCATTTAGTATTTACATATCGACTATAATCGAGTACAAATGTTTACGAATACATAAGTTAATTATTAAGCAGCTGTTAATAGCGTGCGTGTGAAATGAACATTTATCCATACAAGGATTTATTATTTTATTATATATTCTACCACCTCAAACTCAAGTTATAGGCATATAGCAAATACTGTAGTTCAGAATAATGTGTGTTTACTTTGATGCACAGTTAAAATAATCAGTAAAATTATTTTATTTTGATACACTAATGTCTATTGATCTTATTATATTTCACAAGTACTAGTACCCAAAAATACAGCATTGAGATATGTTGGCACAGCGCGACACCACAAATTATTATTGTCTCCCCACACGTCGCGTTTAAAGAAAATGAAAGCTTGTTGCTCGTTTAACGCTGGATTAACCACGTGTCAATTACGGTAAATGCCGCAGGCCTCGCGCTTTACTGTGCTACGCCCATTTTTACGAAAACACGGCCATTTTCTATTGGGACACACCCATTTTATGTGCCTCGCGAATTTAGGGACCTCGCGCATTTAGGCCCCCTAGGCTTGGCAGTTCGTCCTAGCACGGCCCCGGGAAAATGTACAATACTCGTGTTCATATAATCTTTAGTTGCGTTGAGCTGTTATATTATGATCCTGTTTATATACCCACCAACTGCGCCAGGCAGGCCATTATCTCGTTTATAATTGATGCAAATAAGTTGAAATATTGAAAAAAATTATTTAACACTTTTTTGTGTCTTTAAATTCAATGGTTTTCATAAAAAGAAGAAGGGGGAGGTTTGGGGGCCTCGCGCTAAAATGTGCCACGGGCCTCGCGCGACGTTAATCCGGCCCTGGTCACTTGTCCGTAGTTCTTGCGGTTTTAATGCCAATTGACAAAGATCAAAAGAGAGCACTGATGACTCCCCCGTCGGAGAAATACTGGCGCAGCCCAAACCAGCTCAGTGAAATATGGGGCCCCAGGGCCAATTATACCCTTGAGGCCCCGGTGAACCACAATTACCCCCCAACGTCGACAAACTTTTTATCGCCTTGCAAATTTGTATTTGCCTGTCTTCCTTGAGCTGGGGTCGCGGAGAAAATTGCTCCCTTTGCCGCCTCCCTGCATGGGCGGCCCTGGCGCCGCCCTTGTCTTATCATAACTATCGACCCTAATTCAAGCTGATTGGCGCGGCTCGATGAATTAATTGCCGCTTTCAAACAGAGGTTTATTATTTTAAACCTCTAGAACCAGAGTACCTTTTGTCACTCTGAGGCCAGCGAAATAACCTCTTCCGCAACATGCACGTACGCGTCTACTATCGTCAAGAAACAATCAATACGTATAATCGTTGTGGTCTGTGGGATTTTAGTTCAATAGTGTAAACCTTGCAGTTTTAGGGAAGTTTCACATATCGATTTTTTCCACAAAAAACGTCATATGTTCGTTTTGGGGGTGGGGGAGGGGGGTTTACAGCTGTGACGTTTCTTTGTAAATATCATGGAAAAGTTCGATAGTTTTTTCGAATACCTTAACATTTCGGAATCAACTTTGCAGAGTATAAAAAAGAAAACAACTTGAAAGAAAACGACTATTCAAATATAAGGGCTGGTAAACTAAAAATAAAAACTCCTTATATGGATAAACATTATAAACGTTCATTTCACATGTACACGCACGCTAACAGCTGATTCATAATTAACTTACGTATTTGTAAACATCAGTCGATAGATAAAATGGTACATTAATATGGACAAAATGGATCAAAACCTCTGAAAACAGCAGTTGTAGTTCCAATTCTTTTGGGGAATTTAGTAGCAAATACAATCCTTAAATAGCTCATCGATTTGTATATGTTAGCGCTAAAGTCAAACGGCCGGGTCGTAGATCACGTTGAATAATGATCTGAAGTTAATATCATGCAACCGTCAACAATGTCTCAAAATACTGGATGTTTGATGATTTTTTTTACAAATATACCGGGATTTCTGGACCACTTTTAAACTTAGCAAAGCGAAAAGTCCCCATTCAAGAATATGTGTTTTCTCAAAAGGTAAAATACTTAGAATACTTGATTAAATTGTTTACTTCGACGGTGTATAAATTAACAGCGTTTGACTTGCAAGACGTCAAAAACGGAAGATTTCAACGCGCTGTCGTTTATCGCGTATTCATTTGCCAAAAGAAGTATTTACGTCAATTGAAAGCTTGTTTATTAAAGAGCCAACTAGTAGAAGCATGATCGATTTAGAGCTTTATCGCATGGTGAAAATCGATTTTGTTAAGAGGGTATCGTAAATGAAGTAAGATAGTGTGCTCCAAAACTACGATTATTTATATTCCTAAAAGCAACTCAGATTTCCTGTAAGTCATGTACACAGTCTTTTGAATAACCGAAAACAAGATTTTTATGGTTTTAGATCGATTAGAAACGGTTGTCGTCGTGAAATTTATCTGTAAAATCAGCGCATATTTTCCCGGAAAAAAATGGCGATTTAGGGTGGTCGTGTTAAAACGTCATTTTCTCAAGGTTAAAAAAGCATTTGACCTAAAAAAATATATGGTGCATTTTCCGATATAGTAAGGTATATCTGGGCAAAATTTGAGCAAAATCGATTTTTCAGTCGTGGCCGCTTTATGTTTGATTTTTGTGGACATCCTCTCTTAAGAGGCTCACAATAATTGGTATGAACTGTTGTGTTGTCCCGGACTTGTTTTTATATGTTTTCCATATTTACATGCGTTTAAACTGCGTTGATGTTTAGCCTCTACGCGACGCTTTATGAAAATAGAAATAAATTTAAAAATCCAAATTGGTCTTCATGGAGCGTAAATATATGCTGTATGTAAGTTGTTATTTAGTGAAAGTGCATAAAATTGAGGAAAACGTTGGAGAATATATATGTGTTTTATGACAGGTTTCCCAAATGATAATGAAAATCATACACTGATGTTGTATTTACCCCCGTTAAATTTCATAAAGTGCATTTATGAAAATTGCTTGTGGCCAGTAGTGGCCTTCAAAACATTTTACCGATCATTTTTTTCCTTACAGAGACCAATTTAGCCAAAATGATGTCATAGTCGATGGGAGCTCTGTAATGGATGTTGGCGATAACACAGTATTAGGTGTCGTCGTCAGTAAACCAGGAACAGATACTCCAGTAGAAGGCAATGTTGTCGAAGACGCTTTACATCAGACAATTCAAGAAGATGGTCAGACACAAATTTCCAATCTTACCCTTGGAGTTGTCAATGTACCTACGGTTTCAGACAATCAGCGTGATAACGCGATCAGTGTTCGTTTAACCGGCATCCAACCTAGTGAGGTGAGATTTGTGTTCACGAGCAAGCGAAAAATTAATGGAAATCATATAACTTAAATGTAACTTTTGGGGAAAGTACTTTCGATTGATACTTTTCTCTATACCGTGTATTTCTTCAAAATACCAAACTAAGATTTAATTTATAATGTATTTGTAGTGGACGCTGCAACAAGATATATCATTCCGAAATAACATGTCTGAAGCAATCGTCCAGTTTTGTAATCAGAGTGATGCACGATTGGCTTCGTGCGGTCTCACACGGTATGTTAATAATGAAGTATATTAGAAAAGAACTTTATACACGACATCACTATCATTATGTTATGTATTATAGTGCTAGGAATATATAAATGCAATTACCTGTAAACGTGAATAGGCGAAGTAGGTTATTGGTATAGACTGCATGTAGATTTGCAAATAAGCACAATTCAGAACTGACGTTTCGCCTAGCAAATGAAGCTAAAGCATACTATAGTGTTAATGAAATTCAATTGAAACAATTTGTTCTAGGATCGAATCGTATCCTCCAAGTAGGCAGTTGCGATATATCGATATTTTCGATAAAATCAAAAATATCGATATTCCATATTCAATTTTTCGCATATCGAAAATATCGAAAGTTGTAACTAAACAACTTAATCTCCGATTATTCGGCAATTATTGTTTTCATCGGTGAAGTTTAGAGAACGTGTGTATGGCGGCAATTGCGAATTTATGATACAAGTGCGTGGGCAATTGATATTAAAAGCTGAATTGGAGATGACGGATAAACTGTTGTTAATAAAAATCTTTGAAACGTACCATGACTGGTTTCATAAACTTCTTTTTAACTGTTTGTGATGCGTATTCATGCAAGTTGACTAAATTACGTTTTCTCATTTGCATAATTCGATATAGTCGATATTACCGATATTTTCTTTCGATATCGATATATCGATTTTTTTCAATATCGCAACTGCCTACCTCCAAGACCTTATACAGTAGATAGAAATTACATAGACCTCAAATATTATATAATGTAATCGAATGATATACTGCGGATTCAGGTAGACCGTTTAATGCGAATAGTTGTCGCGTTAGTTTTAACAGTTGTACGATGACGTTTCTAGGCAGATTTTCGACGTTTCTAAGGCGTGGCTTCAACGTTTATTTTTAAAATTTGAACGTTGTAATTTCAAGGTAATTGCTAAATAGCATACTTCAAAATAAGGTTTTCGTTTTTAAAACGTAGAAAAAATCATCCTAACGCAAAACTAAACCCTAACCTAACCCTAACTTATTTAAAAAAATGATATAAAAACGGAAACCTTATTTTGAAGTATACTATTTAGCAATTACCTTGTAATTACAACGTTCAAATTTTAAAAATAAACGTTGAAGCCACGCCTTAGAAACGTCGAAAATCTGCCTAGAAACGTCATCGTACAACTGTTAAAACTAACGCGACAACTATTCGCATTAAACGGTCTACCTGAATCCGCAGTAAAGATTGCGCAATTAAATAAGCTCAACATGGAGACTAAAGTCGTTTAATTCCATTAATTAATGTTCGTATTATTATTCTGCATGGGTATCGTCGGCGGTGGTACAGTAGTACCTCCATTGACTAAACACGTTTTCTGTTAATTATAGAGATCAACTGAACGACATTGATTTTCTGAATATCCAGATTTTGCCCAATTCTCCCACGCAAGATGGCGAGGATTCAATTCTGTCATTCTTTGTTTATCTACCAGGTGGAGCAACAATGTCCTCAGATCTTTTGAATACTATTTACACTTCATCTCCAAATGTCATATCACAACCTTCTGTACTAAATACGACTATGAGTCAAAATCCTGTCCTGACAGCTGATCAAACTGTAAACCTTGTACAACTTACAGTAAATGGACTCAATCCAACACAGGTATACCGGGTTTTTTATCATCTACGTGTCTTCGAAAAATTGCTTATGCTAACCAAACAAACCCTGAACTTTATTTAAACTATAGTTACAGGGTTCGGAGTGAGTGTAAACTTTGACAACAATGGCGAGTTTTTTACAGTCAAAAACATTACGCAAGCATTGAAAGGACGTTTTTGGCTTTCTTTGACTCAATATAAGTTTAAAAACCGGATAAGTGCATCCACACTCCACAGATCTATTTTTGTTCAAAATATGTAAATTACAAACCCTGAACTGTATTTAAACTATAGTTACAGGGTTCGAAGTGGGGTCAACAGAAATAGCCATCTTCTAGTTGGCGCAAAAGTAGCAGCGTGAAAAGGCTTGTTTTTACCAAATTGGCGAATCGCAGAGCTCTTTTGATCCGCTAAAAACACTAATAGTGCATTTAAGATGATAATGTGTGATGTAGCCGGCAAGTGATAGCTTTATCTTCAAGTTCCAGGGTTCGAAACATATGTACTCTCATTTTTTTTTTTCTGTGTTGGTGTTGTGTACTCAGGTGAATATGATATTTGTGATGTTAC